TTCTTCCTGCCCCCCTGCCGCCCCTCTCCCCCCCCCCCCCTGCCAACCATCACATTAAGGCGCCCGCTTCCTTCCTCCTTCTCCCCCCAGTACCTGCTGGCTGTTTTACTTTAGTCACACTTGTCATAGATGGTTTCTGGAAGCTTTGCGTTGGAATTATTCCTGCTTTGATTTTGTTTATTATTATAAGAGAGCAGGGGTGTTATCCCTTAAAACTCAATTTGTTCCATCTGTGCATTATATTACTCCTCAAGAACCGTCCTTTTCTTTGAAGACCTTTTTAAAAAAGCTGTAAGCTGCACTGCCCCTGGGGTCACAGCCGGGTGGGTGGTCTCTAGTGATTCACGCACCTTCTTAGCGCTAAGAAGCTGGAATTGCCAGGCATTTCGGGACTTAGGGTGTGAACCTACACCCCGCTGTGCTATAAGGCATCCATCCCCGCCCCCCAGTGTTGGCTGGAGCTGGGCCAACATTAAAAGCGGAATTTTGTTCAGACATGGGAGGGGTGCCCAGCCCCAGCCAACCCTGTGAGTACTGGGGGGGGGGGGCAGTAAGAAAAGAGAGAGGCTGGGCCTCTGCACAGAGGACCGCTGTCGGGTCAGCGCTTTGGAAAAGGCAGTTGCTGGGGTGGGAGCACAGCACAGGCCCAGAGGAGGTGCCGTACAACTGTGCGCCTAAAACCTGTATAATTTGGTTAACCAGTGTCACCCCAATAAATTTAATAAAAAGGGGGAGCTAGTGGTAAAAGTACCCAGAATTATGGCTAATGTTGCTTTAACTTCTCAGATGCCCCAGAATAAGTGATCGCTCTGCATGTTCCACGAATGTCAGGCATTATGTCTTTTAATGCCTTAACAAAATTTTTTCTTTTTTAAGTCAATAGAATGTCCCTAATCCTGAAATTTAAACCCACGACTGTTCACATGGGAAAAGCGTGGCCGATGGGAAGCCAGGCCTTTGTCCAGCTGGTGGCTGCCCAGTGCTGATCCTGGGGAAACCAGCTTCGGGCTTTTTTAAAAGATGCGGATGGACGTGCTGAAAGCATCAGCATTCAGTTTCCTGTCCACTTCTCTTAGGAACCTCGTTCCTGGAGAGAAGCTTAATGGACTCCTTTCGATAGTGTTATCAGCAGTAGGATAACGAAACAAGTGGCTAGAATGTGCCCAAGCGCATGACTTTCTTTAGTAAAAGCAGAATTTTGTTCAGACGTGGGAGGGGT